GTGGACGCTAATAGGCCCATTTGTATGTGGGATGGGGCAGTAAGGCCCGGGTCTCATGCGGAGGGGGGAATGGTGACCATGACGAATGCTAGGGATGTCCTCTTTGTCAAGGGGGTGCAATTCCCGTTGATTGAGGATCCGATGGTAGTGGAATTACTCGTCCTCCGTGAACCCATTGTTTGGTGCTTATGACATGGCCACACGGAGATGAGATTTGAAGGAGATGCCAAAGTGGTCATTGAGAAGATTGCTCGAGGTGATGCCAATTATAATCAAGTCGGAGCTATTTTGAAGGAAGTTCGGCATTATTTTGATGTTCATAGTGGTTTTGATATTCGATTGGTAGGTCGGAGGAACAATAGGGTAGCCCATTTGGTGGCTCGCAAGGCCCTTTCTTTGTACCCGACTATGAGTCGTTTCTTTGATTATCAGACCTGGATGAATTCCAGGATGTAACTATTGTTTCGATTCAATATATATATATATATATATATATATTGTGTAAAAAAAAAACATGTGATCTCGTTGGTCATCGTTAAAATTCATCTTGCAAAGAAAAGCAACAGAGGAGCAAAATCGTATTAAAATAAATTTATAAAAATATAATTATCTTAAACATGAATTTGGACTCATATCTCAAATCTACGGGTAGTTTGCTTCGTGGATATGGACTTGAAAAATACCATTGTTTGTTTCTTAGATTTAATGATTGATTTTGTTAATTAGATTTGTACATATGAAGTAAAATTGACATTTATTACCATCATTGGTATGAAAGAGAAAGTCAACATGACAGATAAGTTAGTCACAAATGATGAATTTCAAAGTCCATAATCAATTCTCACCTAAAGGGATATAATTTCAAGTCCATGGGACAACGAATTTGGTTCTTTCAATTTTTTCAAGCAAACAAAAAAATTACGCAAAATTCACCTAGATAGTTATAACAATCCACTTTTTGCCACCAATAGCCACTTTTTGAAAAATACAGAGAAATATCAATGTTTTTAAAACTTGTATGACTAATTTTGCCATTTCCATTAGATATTTTAATTTTCTTTTTAACAATTCTCCTTTCCCCTTTGTTACAGAGAGAGATGAGGGCGAGATGTAAAGCTCCACCTCCGTCCTGCACTCTCTGACCTTTGTTCATCAAGATAAATTTTTGTGTGGGATTTCTTTGTGTCATCGTCACTCTCCGTTCTCTCTTTCCTCTCTCCAACCGACATCTTCACTGTCAGCAGGTATTGTGAAAAATAGCTTTTGCCGCAGAGTTTGAAAATCCCCACGACTCGTCCCCACGCTAGCAAATGGAGGAAAGGATTGAACCGCCATTGTCGGCAGCAGAATCGACTTCTCCGCCTCTCGTGCTTTGACTCCAAAATCTGCTCAAATCAACTTCCATAGAGCTTGGCGAGATTGACCGCTTAGATTTCATTTTATTATTATGCCCTTTTGGGTCTCTAGCTTGTTTCTTAGGGAATTAACAATCACTTATTTCCCTTAGCAAATACAATCGACTAGAACCCATCAACCAGTAGTGGCAGACCTAAGGTTGGGCCACTCCAGGCCCCGGCCTAGCCATCCTCCGGGTTTAGAGCTAGTATAGTACTTATGAATTTTTCGATTTTAGGTATTCAACCTAGTGCTATTTAAAAGTCATTTCAGTGTTATTTGATAATATGATTTTTTGTAACTAGGAAAATGGTCTAGATGAACATATCCCAACGTCAAAGTCTAAAATTTAAAAAAAAAGTATAAAGTTTCATTGAAATAAATTATAAAAACCTCTAAACTAAAGCTCATCATTCAAAACTAAAAAAATTCCTCCAATTCCCCCAAAACAAGAATGAGGAGACGAACGGATACCAAACGAATTCCTCTGCCAGTCCGCCGAACACTAGTTTTCTTTCCAGTCTTTTGATTGGGAAAATATTTACAAACTTGCCGAGTCATCATTTAAGATTGCTTCAGTTGAGTGTGCACTAGATCCTAACAAATCTTTCTGGTATTTTGATTAAGAAAATATTTACAAACTTGCTCAAAAGTTTAGCCTCGAGACTTTGAATGCTATGAGATGCATTCTTTGAAGAATGAGCTATAATATTATGCCACTCATGTGATTCATAGTCAGGAATATGAACTTTCTTCCCTTGCAAATTTACAAGAGAAATTGGCGGAAACAAGGACAGACGCACGATACAAATTGATTTGTAGATTGATTCGCCTAGTGTGAACCTTGCCCATTTCAATGATAACTACTGTGAGAATATTTTCAGCAATGAAACATGTGAAATTGATATGCGCAACAAAATGAGCGATGACATTCTCGTTGATTGCTTACCTGTTATCCGAGAGAGAGAGAGAGAGAGAGAGAGAGAGAGAGAGAGAGAGAGTACCTTTGGTATAGATGACAATTCTATTATTAATAGATTTGCTAAATTAAAAGGCTTTCTTTTACAATTAGCATTGTAATATTCTATCCAAATGCGACCCAGTGCTCTACTATGTTATGGATCCGTCGCTGTTAACGAGAAAGCAACATCCATCGTTGTCCCATCGCACCAACAACTACCACCTCTGTCACCACCGCTTCTGTTACTACTCCGGCGAAGCCTACCTAGTCGAATTTTCAATCTGCACCGGCTAAAGCTCAATACATGGCGGAAATAAATCGGTAGCGTTGGCTCCAATACACATGGAAGGAGGAGCGGAGCATTGATGTCGATTCTCTCCATCCGCCATTACAAATTTGGCTACTCCTCCATCTCTTATATTAAGTAACAACAAAAAACACAAAAATTTGCAGATCTGGGAAGAGTTACAAACGTCGACAACAACAACTAATCGGCACCCATCAACAATCGCCAATCCATACAAAATCAGAGATAGATATGTTTCCAGACCCTTCGTCTCCCAAACACATCACTGACCCACCTCACCATCGCAATTGCCATCACCATGACCATCGACGAACAGAGAGAGAAGGGAGGATGGAGAAGCCATCCAATTTTGAGGTGAGATTGAGAGCCCGAAGAGAGATAAAATTAGCGACAGAGGCAATTGATTTCATGGGGGACGCCAAACCACAAAATCTCTGCGGGTGAGGATGCTTTAGTAGGGGAGGCTTCGATGGTGGAGGAGGTTAGACGAAGGGAGGGATTTCGAGATTTTCCATAGTGGATGGTTTTTTTTTTGGTCGAAAGACAGTGGAGGGTTTTGGGAGACATAAATGTTTATTATTTTTACTTTTTCATGAAAACCACTTTCCACTTGGTATAGCTTTTGACTAAAAATGTCAGGTCAACAAAAGTCATTAGTATAGTCAGCATTCGCAATTGGTTCGTTAACGTTATGAATGGAATTGTTATTTCTCTGTATTTTCAAAAAATAGCTATTATTGTCCAAAGTTAATTGTTACGGCTATTCAGCTGTATTTTTTTAGAAATTTATACTAAATTCATTATGTTTGGATTTTGATTCGCAAATTCATCGGCCAGATCTAGGGATGGCAAAAATATCCGTAACCGTGCATATCCACCCGAATTCGACCTAATCGGGTAGGGTAAAACATGAACTCAAAACACTTTTGGATATGGGTAAAACCTGAACCCGAATATTGTGAGTAATGGGTGGGCATGGGTGCCAACCCGAACCCGCCCGATTATACACATGTATATGTATTTTGTCTAGAAATAATCATTATTTTTCTCTAACATAATTTTATATTTAGCATACAAATATACTATTTTTATGAAATTGAGTTGTTTTAATAAATTTTCTTCATTCTAGTGAATTATTGTCGTACTTTTCCTCCTATTTAATGTGAGAATATGTGTGAATATTAACATATTGGTTGAAGTTTTTACGAGAAATTATTATTCATGGATAATCTTTGATACCTAAAACCCGAACGGATATGAACATGATATTTATTTTCAACCCATTTTTATTTGTGTATATAGATATTAATATGGATAAAACATGAACTACTTTGGATACGGTAATGGATATTACTATCCGCTACCGACTCGACCCGTTGTCGGATCGAACCAACGAGCAACGACCCCTTAAAAGCAAATATAAAGAGATGACTGGACACAAAAGGAAGAGAAAAATGATGAAAGTAAAATAATAATATGGGGAAAGAAAAAGAGAACTGAATAGACAGCGGAAACATCAAAAGTCAACTGGAAAGCAAGTCAAGTCGTCCTTTTGTGGCAGCCTTTTAAGATAAAAACTAAAAATGGCTCTCGCTTCCCGTGCTTCGTTTTCTTCTTTGCCTGCAAAGCCTCCCCGAGCAGGCGAGCACCCAAATGCACACGAACCCCCTCTTAAAGGAAAAGCCAACAGGGCGGCAATCAATCATCTTCTAACATAAACAAAGGCCTGTTAACCCGACCTTCAATTCCTTCTTCCGTCGCAGGAATCCTTTTCTCTCTTGTCGCCCGAATAAAGAAATTCACAAAATTCTTGCCTGCAAATGCCCTTCCCCGTTCCACCTCTTTCTCTGTCCCCTATTTTTTATTCTCTGCTCACTTGCTTGCGTAAGCTAATTAAGTAAGCCGAAGAAGCAGACACAAACAGCGAAAGAAACCTTTTTTCGACCACACTAAGAACCACTGTTTCAGAGAACTGAAGGAGGAGGAAAGCAACCAAAAGACGCCATTTTGGACTCGGAATTAGACCGGGAAGAGGTAGTTCTGCTGTACCCAATTCGTCGTTTGTCCATGGTTGTTTGCGCTGTGATATTTTCTTGCTGCTCTGTCTCATTCAGGGTTTTAGATCCTTCGATGGTCTGTATCAGGTTTCAATTTCGTGTCTATTTTCATTTCTGGTGATCGAGGTTCTTTGTTCTGATGGTTTTGCAGGCCGTCGATTTTGGCGAGGTGGGTTTGTTCCATAATTTGGTTTGGGGGTTTGTACTGGTTGTGGATGGTTAGAATTTGATCGGGCAACTTTGAATTGGTGGTGCGCTCGCGCCCAATTCGTTTTCTTCTATGGATAGTTTGTGCTGTTTCAATGCTTCTTACTCTCAGGTGAAGATGCTCTTCCTTTTCTCTGGTTTTTCTCTTTTTGGTATGTTTAAAATGAGGAGTTCTGGTGTTTGGGTATCTTCACAGAATTATCTGGTCCTTGAGTCCAATTGAGGAATTCTGGGACATACTTGAGATGGCTGTCAATCTTGAGGGTGTTGGTGGCCTCTAAAACCGCTACTCTAGTTTGTTTATATTTAACACTGAAAGTTCAGTCTTGAGCCCTATAGAAGCTTACGTCTCTAACGTAGAGTAGAGTATAGTAGAGTAGAGTAGTTCGTCACAGCTGATGGTTCCCGTATCCATTTTGGAAAAGTAGCTTGGCAATGTTATGTGGTAGTACTTATTAGTTCTATCTGAAAAAAATCCCCTTTCAGATAAAGAAACTCATATTTTCCACTTCTGATACTTCAGATTGTTGGAGGGCGTTCTTCTTCTAGCTCCGGTAGGGGGAAGAACCATGATGGTGTAATCAAGTTTGGCTTCAGCCTGGTAAAAGGGAAAGCAAATCATCCCATGGAAGATTATCATGTTGCAAAATTTGTTCAGATTCAAGGGCACGAGTTAGGGCTCTTTGCTATTTATGATGGCCATTTGGGTGATGGTGTACCTTCATACTTGCAGAAAAACTTGTTCCCCAATATCCTGAAGGAGGTCGGTCTCGTTGCTACTACTTCCACAGTCTCCTTATTGTTGTAAGTTCAAAAGCTCTTTCATCAGGGAGCTTGCATTCTAACACTCGAGTGACTTTTGATTATTCCAGGAAGAGTTCTGGGCTTTTCCAGATAGATCTATCTCTAAAGCCTATGAAAGGACAGACCAGGATATACTCTCCCAAGGCTCAGACTTGGGGAGAGGTGGGTCTACAGCTGTTACTGCAATTTTGATAAATGGCCAAAGGTTGTTGGTAGCTAATGTTGGGGACTCGAGAGCAGTTCTTTCAAGAGGTGGTCAAGCAGTACAAATGAGTATAGATCACGAACCTAGCACCGAACGAGGAAGTATCGAGGACAGAGGCGGCTTTGTTTCAAATATGCCAGGTCTTTTCACGGTTCATTATATCAGCACCTCGTTGAACTAGTCTTTATCAAATTATTAAGTTACTAAACGTTATCTATGATAATTAGGTTAATCTCCCTTCTTTTGCCACTCTGGTGTATATATTGTGCGGTAACTGAATGCCTTTATGCAACTCAGAAATAAGAACATGTACCCTGACTTTTCCGGTAAGGTTGCTCCTTGATACTGTATGCAATGAAAACAATCTAAACCAAAACAAGGTAACCAAATTCCGAGGTTGCCCCAGTCTGAAAGATAACTGGAAGCTTACAACCCAAGTTTTCAACTCAATAATGCCTGTTTTCCTTCACTCTTAATGACACCATGCATCCTTGAGTTGTATCCTACAAATGAAGTTCTCTTAGACCTTTGAAATTCTGTGTTTGGGTTATAGTGAATTGTGTCTCCCTATGAATGCTGACCTGTGGAACAGGGAAAAGAACATGGCTGGTCGTGCTCCATTTGTATATGAGCCAATTGGTGTGAATAATGAAAGAATGCTTAAATCTTCCTTTCTATGGTTTTTATGGTCAAAAGGTATTTAATCACAAATGCCAATTGCTCTTACTGGGTGTTGGAACTTGAATTGGCCTTAGCTTGGTTCAGAGAGCAATAATCTGGAGACAAAAGTAAAGAAAACTTAATTGACATGATTATCTTTCCTTTTTTGTACGTTTCATAGGAGATGTCCCGAGAGTCAACGGACAGCTGGCAGTTTCTCGCGCTTTTGGAGACAAAACCCTCAAGTCGCATCTCAGGTCAGATCCAGATGTCCGAGAATCCAGCATAGACAACAGCACGGATGTTCTAATCCTTGCCAGTGATGGCCTCTGGAAGGTAAATCATACCAGAGATGGCTTTAGGTCTTCTTGTATACTGAATAGTAGGGCATATGTTGATACAGAATTTGCTTTATATTTGTTCTTACCTTCAATAATCCTCCAGGTTATGTCTAATCAAGATGCTGTTGATATGGCAAGAAAGATTAAAGACCCACATAAAGCAGCAAAGCAGCTAACAACTGAGGCACTGAAAAGAGACAGCAAGGACGACATATCTTGTGTCGTTGTTAGATTTAGAGGGTAAAGTTTACCCGAAAAAAGGCGTATCGTATCAATTATCTTCCAGGTATCATCTAAAATTCCCATAAATACTAAACTGATTCTCTTCACACGGATATCCGGATGACAAGTTTATTTTTATGTATTCCGTTTGCCGTGGGTGGCGGGGAAGTGGTTCTCTCTGTAAATTTTCACCTTCTGTTCATGGTAGGTTCTGGTGGCTTTGATATTGTTTGACACCTTTGTGACATTGAATTTGGTGAAAAGAGGAGGGGGGGGAGAGAGAATAGGGTGTACATTTGTGCTGCAAAATATTCATGTACCCTTGTCGATTCAATCGAGAATTTCTTCTGGGTTTGGCTTGCAAGTGGATATGAACAGTATTTATGACCAGCAAGTTTTCCTGATCATGACATTACTGTTACCGTTAGGAAGTTGGTTTCCATGTCTGATTTGGATTTCTTCTTATCCATTAAGTAAATGTAAATGGTTTCTCTTGTCAACCACTTGTTGCTTTTGAGTAGGGATGGCAATTATAGCCGTAATTGTGGGTATCCGACTCTACCCAACCCGGTCAACGAGGGGAATCCCCGCATTGACTGGGTATGGGGCGGATACGGGTAATACCCGCAAAGAATCTTGTGGGGTTGGGATGGATTTGAGTGCCCCGCCCCATACTCATACCCATATCCGCCCCATCATTGCTTATGTCTTATAATTCTAAAATATAACTACGGTAATGTAATCTACCAAAAGGACTTAAGGGTTATTGTAAAACAAAATAAGGACTAAAAGATTAATTTCACATAGTTAAACCAACCCTAACTTCTTAACAGGCTGACACGTTTCTAACTCTACTTTGGAGGATAACTTCATTTTTATGTGTGGATTTTATTGTTTAGTAGGTGTTTTGGAGATGAATAATTTGGTGTTTGATTATTTATTGGTACTTTGTTTATGGAACTTCGTAGGAATTGGATGATCTTATTAAGATTTTCAGTAATTCTTTATTAGGTTCATCATTGATTAGGTTTGATGTTTCAACCCAATACTTATATGTTTTGTTGAACTCAAGTGTGTTAATTTAGTTATAATCATAATCAGATGTACGGGGCGGAGATTACCCTCGGGTATCCGAAACTCGCGAGAATGGGAATGGGGATGCAAAATCTTCCCCCGCATGGGGATGGGGAGGGTATGGATTTCATAATTGAAAATGGGTATGGGTTTAGTACAATCCACCCCAAACCCGATCCATTGCCATCCCTACTTTTGAGTAGTTTCCAGACAACCGAGAACTCAGGTTTTAGCGTTTCGGATTTTTGATTGAGGAATTGTTGTACAATTGGGTTAGGATAGTGAGGCGCCCTATTTTGCGGAAAGATATGGTTGTCATGCTAGTGGTATACCGGCCGGTTGAACTAGGTCCAACTGGTATCGATTATGAAAATGGCTGGAATACCACGAGCATGATGTTTCAGTCAATACATGTTCAATTCAGTTGAAATTAGTCAATTCCTGGAATACCATTGGTTCAATCGGAAGGCTAATTTCCGGATGTTACTTGTTACGGCGTCGTTTACTCGCTTTCACTACTGAGATTGTAAAAAAGAAATTAGTCAATTTGCTATTCGTCGCCAACGATCACTTTTTCGTTCAACAATCAACTCCTTTTCCCCGCCAGTTGATGATATGATTTTATCACCCTGACCAGAATCACCAATTCTCTGACCAGGGAATTTGAGGGTGACCGAGGAATGTCAGCTGAAGGACCCCCAATCAACTTTGTTATATCCCAATAGGGAATTGAGACCTGCGATTGGGCCTAGACGAGTTATTTACTTTTTTGTTTTAGGATTCTTTTTTTTTCTGTGTTTTCATTAGTTTTATTTTTCAGACCTATTTAAAGGGTTGTAAGACACGAATTTGAGCATATTATGTTGAATAGAAAAACTTTTTTGGTTCATTGAGTTTTTACTCTTGAATTCGCTCTTGTGAATTGGTGGTCCAATTTCCTGAGTGTTTGTTTTGTATCAATCAAGTATTTACCTTGATCGTGGCCGAGCTTTGACCCTTATATTGTTCAATCCTTTTCCTAGGTGTGAGATTGGACGTCAATTCCGTCCTATTTTTTTTACTTTTCGTGTTGTTGAGAGAAAATTCAGAAAAAATGCTAAAAGATTGTGACTGGGAGACTTTGATCAAAAGAATTCATGAGCTTGGTATCTTATCAAGTGGTATCAAACCCGGTTCAAATCAGTGGCAAGGAGAAGTTCACAAGCTTTCTTTAAGCTCATGCAATGACGGAAGAATCAGAGCAACAAGGTAACTTGTTTTACACACGTTGCTTGGTACAAGAGAAATTGTGTTTTGTGGCTATTGATGAAGAGATCAATCCAATTTGATCAGTTCAAGGACAGTTGCTAAGTTAGGGCTAACTACACAACGTCATCCTAACCCTTTTATGCAATTGTCGGATTAAAAGGCCTTGGTTTTTTTGACTAAACAAGTGTCTTTGGATATCAAAATCGGGTCTTATGTGGATCAAATTCAATGTGATGTGGTGCATATAAATCTTACCCATGTGGTGCTTGGTAAACCATGGCACAATGATTGCCAAGCACAACAAAGTAGGAACACCAACATGATCATCTTAAGGCATCAAGAAAAGAAACTTGCACTGAAGCCATTATCGGTGGAAGGGGTTGCTAAAGATAGGAGGCAATTACATCAGACCTATGAGAAGGAGCAGAAGGCCCTATAAGCAAAGAAATCATCGACAACAACAGTTGTCGAAGAAACAGCAGCTAGAGCACAAAAGACTACTGAAGAAGGTGTTCTTGAGTTGCACCTATTAGACGACAAGCTTCCTATGGAGAACAGGCTTGAACTGGGTAAACTGCAGTAATCGGTGAAGATCAAGACACAGAGCCGGATTCTGGAGCTTCTGTGCGCCAAATTCAAACTTGAAGGATTGAGTGAGGATGCAACTACCTCATGTAACGAGAATCGATCAATTCAAACCTACTGTCAATTTTGTAGAACCGGGATGGGGGGCTCAAGTGAAGAACTATGACGACTTGAGCTTTGAAGTTCATGGATTGGAACCCTTGTTTGCCAAGCTATTTGAGCTCTTGATTCCATGGAATTGTGGAGATTGTTTGCTCTTTTTTGTTGATGTTTATGCATGGAATTTCGTTTGGAGGCTAAGCTGGGAAGCTTGCTTGGATCGAGAGCTTTGTGGAATTCTTGATTTCGAATGGGAGGATGATGCGTGGAGTCTCACTCAAGTTTTGAGGGCAAAACTTCTTTAAAGGGGAGGGATTGATATGATTCTATCCCCCGACCACAATTGCCAATTCCCGACCGGGGAATGCTAGTAGAAGGACCCCTGATTAGCTTTGTTAAATCCCGATCAGGGATTGAGACCGTGAATCGGGTCGGGACGAGAAAGTTACATTTTTTAGTTAGGATTCTTTTTGCTTTTTTGTGTTTTCATTAGTTTTATTTTCCTAACCTATTTAACGAGTTGTAAGACACAGATTTGAGCATATTATGTTGAATATAAAATTTCTTCTTGGTTCATTTAGTTTTTAATCTTGAATTTGCTCTTGTGAATTGGTGGACTCCAATTTTTTTAGTGTTTGTTTCGTATCAATCAAGTATTCACCTTGATCGTGGACGAGATTCAACCCTTATATTGTTCGAGTCTTCTCCCAAGTGTGAGATTGCACGTCAATTTTTCCCTATCTTTTACTTTTCGTGTTGGTGAGAGAAAATTCAGAAAAAAACCTAAAAAGATTATAACTACGTGACTTTGATCAAAAGAATCTAGGCTTTCACAAGCTTGTAATCTTATCAGTTGACTTTCTCTTGGCAATGAATAGATTGGCGGCTGACTTGCGAAGCAGAGCACTCGGCGATGCTCTTCACACGGCGACGGTCCAACGAAGCATGGGAGGAGGCATAGGGTTTTCGGATCCTAGTCTCGGGTCGCGAGCAATTAGCGTCGAGATCTAGCCATAAGGAAGGAAAAAATCACCAGCAATTATCTATTTTAATCATGCTTTGAACTTGTCTCTCCAATTCTTTTCATGATAGCCTACCACATAGGATTGCATGAATTAGAGTGGTTTTGAGCGGTTTGACATTTTAGGGTAGATGAATGTTATAGGAGTATAGTATGATGACGAGGCGACCGTACCCCTGCTTATTAGACGTCCACCTAGGTAAAGCTAGGGTGTCGAGTGTGTGACCATGCCCCATCGAAGATAGCGGATCTGCAGAAGGAACTAACTCATTTCACATAGGATGAAGATGAAACCCTCTGAGATGCATGTGAGAGATGTTCCACTCTCTTTCTCGAGGACCGACAACTTATTGATTCGGTCAGCAACGGGAATATGCTGACCAAGATTCTCCCGCAGTTGACGTGGTTTCTAAGATGGTTACGACAATCAACCATAAGGGGATGGTTACAAGTATAGGCCAGCCACAGGTGATGTATTGTTAGTGGTGCGAGAGCACCAATCACATGGTGGAGGATTGTCAAGCGATGAGGGAGTCTAACTCACCTCAGGAGCAGCAGGACTTCGTCAGTAATGCGGGGTGCATAGACCCCTCCAGCAACACCTACAATGAGGGGTGGCGCCAGCACCCAAACTTCTCTTGTGGTGGCAACAACAATCCTAAGCCACCAGGCTTTAAGGCTCCTGCACACGGTTACTAGAACTAGAGACAACTATACCTAGGGGTGTGCAATGATTCAGTCCGGTCTGGACCAGCCAAAACTGATGAGAACCGCGGTCCATTAGTGAAAAACATCTTAGGACGAAGGACGGCCTGGTCCATATGGTCCGATTCGATCCAAATATCAGTTCGGTCCATCATTTCTTCAATAATTGTGAAATTCATGTGAACCAAGGAACGGACCGCATTGTACTCGGACCGGTGCGGTTCATTCCAAACTTTAGTTTGGTTCGGTGTAGTCCCGGACCGGACCATTGCACACCCCTAACCATACCA